TTTACTTACGTTTTGAAATTTGTTCTTTGCTTGGTTTTATTGAGGAGGGGTTGTACATGACCCAAATAATCATAGCCAAACATTTCAAAGTCATTGCGATACTGCTCGCCCAACTGCTTGATATACCGAGGAGGAACCTGGGAATAGTACTCCAACACTTCATCTGAGCCGGTTGATTTGTGGATTGGCGGGAAAGTTACGCGGTCGTCAATTCCCGCCATTTTTAGTACGACTGGCCCGTCAGCTCCCATGGTCTCAAAGTGACCAATGAAATCGTAGTTTATAGCGCACGGGTGGCAGATCTTTTCATACTGTCTCCAGTGCTGATTGCGCGATATGTTACTAGAAAAATACTGAATAAATTCCGAGAAACTAACGAAATTTTCCCCTTGTGGCTCATAATCCTGAGGTCGAAGAGCTTGTACTATAATTTTCCGAATCTTCTCGGTGTAGTCCGGGGTTCGTATAAATTTATGTTTGTAAGCCGAAAGCAAGCGTTCTAACGGCTCACGAACGAAAAAGAACTTAAAATAAGTCTTGAGCTTAAACGACCTGTCTTCTTCCGAGTATTCACTAAATCTTGAGAAAGCGCTCCAGCGACTGCCTTTAATTCCAAGAACATTTTTCAGCAGTTGTAACCAGGTTGTAGAAGCTACTTTTTGGAGTGCACAAAATAAAATTTTGTGTTTGTCCTCTACAGCAATGTACTGAAGTTCTTCCTCTTTTGGCTTCTCGTTAAACACGTGTGTGAGGCGATATTCATGAAGTCGTTGTTTTCTCGCCTTTTGATTGTCGTCGGGACTTGGTTTGGAGCCTTCGAATTTTCCCTGCAACGTCAAGAAATTTCAGGCATTAGAGACGATGACAATTTCTTGCATTGCTGGTACAATTGCTCAAAGGCCAGCAACCCGTTTTTTCTGGATTAAAATCTGCAGCTGGGAGTATTTAAGGCCACCAATTTTTCGTTCTCTCAAGGTGCACGAACGAAACTCAGTCCAGGCTAAATATCGTCGGCCAAACATAACAAATTTCTGCTTAACGGAAACTACAGCAATTATGCACTTTGTAAAATTATTTTAAAGAAGCAAATGGGCGAGATTTATTTGCGTGCATTGCACTGTATAGAAGCCCTAGAACGTTGAATTTGAACACTCTAGTAACGAATCAAAATGCTTATCTCTCCGTGTGTAGCTAATTTTTAGATAGCTGATGCGTTTACCGTAATTATATTTACCTTTGATTCTCCGGAAGATGATCCTTGCTCTAAAATATATAGAATGAAAGAAAAATAAATAAATATTACATAAATAGATTTTTTTATTAATCTTACAGGGTGACTTGATTCTAAATGTTACAGAGTCGCTGCACACGTTAAAAATGAAATTCCAGTTTTAAATTAAACCCGAGGGCTTTGTTACACTGTATACTAATGGCTAACAATTTGAACAGAGCAGGGCCTAAGCTAGAGCAACAGGCGAACCGCCTTAGTCATTTTGTTCGTTTTTTGTTGTTGTTCCTTTGTGAAGGGAGAAAGTAAAACACTGCTCGCAAACAAATGAAAAAGTAATATTGCTTCCTTTATGTGAGTCATAAGTTTTTTTTCCTTGCTACGGCCGTGCAGAGCAACACTTTAAAAGTACGCTGATTACTGATATAGAATTAAACGTGAGCAACAATAAAATACAATGAATTTCTTATATTTGGCATTTAATTTTATTTTGTCGTCGTTAAAAATACCCTTCCCCAGAAAAACTGCTGAACGCAATCGCGTTCCGCTCTTGCGTTCACTAACAGTTTTTCTAGACCTCAGGGAGGCATCACTTTCTCAGAGAACATGGCCCACCATCTTCTATTTGGTAAATAAACGGCACCGCGAGCTAGTCAATTGTTGAAAAGTGGTTCCTTAATGTTTCTAAAACAAAAATGATGTTTGTTGTTTGATAGATCGGTTAGTGGGTTACGCTTAACAATAACACAGCTCACTTTCAGTTTCTGGTAAGAGCTGGCTATTGCGGGAATATCCTTGTTATTTCACGGAACAATTGAAGACAATACTGACCCTTCTTGGTTTGCATAACACAGGGAAGTACGATATATCATTAGCCCAAAACTGGCGCTGCTTAGCAAAAAGCTTGCCAGCCTTGATTGTTTTTTTTGAAGTCGCAGATGAACAAAAAAGACCTTAATTAAGGTCACGAGGCAACGTTACAACTCACTACAGCTGTAAAAACGTTTGGCGTTTGACGTGTTAGACTGAGTAAAACAAGATATGGTTACATTTTGATGAAATTCGATAGAATAAAACAATTGCATAAAAAAAAAAGAAAAAAAAAACTTTCAAATTAAACGCAGTCAAAATAGATACTGAATATTAAAATGAATACTAAAATGTTCATTCAAGGTTTTAACACGTAACCGATGCGTGAACGAAGCGTCTAAAATATCGTCCTTATTTATAAACCCTCTGCTTCTTAAACCATTTTCTTTTTCGAAATACGTCCAAGCGCCTCGGGAGGGCGATTGTTACAAAGGTTATCAAAAAGAAACACTACCCGAACAACTGAAAAATCGAAGTTTGTCTTCCATCAGTTACAAGTTAAACAAAATCAATAGCGAACTTAACTTTACAGGCAAAAACTAACGATAGACAAATCCGACGTTTCGGCGACATCTTGGCGCCATTGTCAAGGGAAACTAATTAAATATGCGATTTCTCTTGAAATCGCATATTTAATTAGTTTCCCTTGACAATGGCGCCAAGATGTCGCCGAAACGTCGGATTTGTCTATCGTTAGTTTTT